TGATGCCAAGGTACAGAGAGATCGCCAAGGAACCAGGTAACATATGTGAAGACACAGGGACATTCCTCCAGATCCAAAAGAGAAAGAAAATCTTCCCCAAGAACAGACACCCTGGACCCAGGCTTCTAGTCTCCTGAACTGGGAGAAAAATCAATCTGCTAACGCCTCCATCACTTCCTGGTAGTTCTGCTATAGCAATACTTGATAACTAAAGCCAGATGAAATGGAAAAAATTAGATTACTTTTTAAAATATAACCTCTCCTGAAAGTGAACGGGTGAAGGACCAGAACAGCAAATGCACACACGTGCCAGGGCACTTCAATCAGGACTGAAAGCTCCCTGACTTCTCACCTCAAAACAACTCACTGATTCACTCTGCTCTGTCAAAATCAACAACGTTTCCCACAGAAGGAATCACAGGTACTGATACAAGAAGTTTTTAAGACTGTCCTAACCTCTCCAACAGGTTTTGTTTCAGAAACGAGGCCATTCAGAGGCCTAGTTTTCAACAACGCAGAAGACCATTGGTTTTGCCCCGTGCATCCCTGTGTTCCCTAAAGCCAGCAGTCCTCAAACTATGGCCCGCAGGCCACATGCAGCCCACTAGGGACATTTATCCTGCCCGCTGGGTGTTTTTGCCCCGTTTGGCTTGTTACTTTAAAATAAGATATGTGCAATGTGCATAGGAATTTGTTCAGTTTTTTTTTTAAACTATAGTCCAGCACTCCAACGGGTCTGAGGGACAATGAACTGGACCCCTGTTTAAAAAATGTGAGGACCCCTGCCTGAAGCCAATATACAACCTACCTTGAACGTTTTGCAAATGGTCAGTAAACAGAATTACTAAAAATCTATGACTCTAAAACAGGTCACAGCAACACAGGTTTATCAAAAGAAATGATAGCAGTAAAATAATAAACTTTACCAAAACATTTGTCAAAACAACAACAAACCTAAATATAATGGTTCCCTCTCAATTTTGTGTGTTCAATAAATTATTAACCAGCTACAGGAACCACAAAATAATTGAAAATAGTCACTTTAATTCAACATAATAGGTAAAAGAAGCTAACGCCTAGAATTCCTAAAACAGCAATCCAGTTTGTGCAAACTGTTAAGACACTGTCTGTGCTGGTTTAGTTAAAAGGTAATTGTAAAGCTATATCAAAAACAAAACCCTTCTTTCAAATCTAACACTAGTTTAATCTTAAGGAGGATTTCACAGCAGTTAGTCTCTTGAGGAAATACATAATTAAGTAGTTTTTTAGCATATTTAATTAGATCCCAAACTCTTCCCTGTCCCTTTCTCTCCCCAATTATGTACCATTTGCCCAAGAGACCAAAGCAACTCAGTTAATTATGTAAATAAGGCAAGCATTATTCCCAAGAAAGGCATTGTGAATATTTGTAGTAAGAAAAAAAAACCCTACATATTTTAGAGGCTTTAAGAACATTTTGAAAAATAACACTATTACTATCAAAATACAAGAAAAGTCTGTATTTTGAAGCAAAAAGCATGAAGCTTAATGATAAGATGGTGAATCATTAAAAGGGGACACTCATTTCATTGCTTAAATATGATCTGAATAAAAATAAAATTTTAAGTTATAACAGTAACAAAAATTTAGTGCTAAACGTCAAATGATTTATGGGTAGAATCAAACTGAAAAATTTTAAACTCAACTCTCTCTAGGAAAGGGCTTTATTATCAAGGGGTTGACATGATCTTAACTGGAGGCAGTCATGGTGCTGTTATAACTACTACAATCCCATTATTATGCAATCACAAAATGCTAATTTGATCATTTTGAGGTGTTATTTGAATAGTCATTTTAATTTCTAGGATACAGAAAGGCTTGACTCAAGTATAATTCATTATTAATCATTGAGATGTCATTGACTATCATATTGAAGTATTTCACAAAGATAAAGAAAGACTAATTTAATATGTACAGTACCATATTCTTCAAATATTAGCCACTTTCATTATATGTATTCCAAATGCATCAATATTAAATAATAGATGAGAACAAAGATTTAATTGTATTTAGCAATTGTACTATGTAGGATAATAATAAAACAGTATCCAATCATAAGACAGACTTATCAATACGTTTATCTTTTTAATCAATGTGTAATGATGACTGTTGCATGCTCACATCCTTTGCTGATTAAAAATACTGTTTTTAGGTGTCCTGAAGTTTACCCGTTTGGTCAAGTCCTATGAAGCCCAGGACCGTGAGATTGCCAGCCTGTCGGGCAAGCTGAAGGCCCTGTTCCTGCCACCCATAATGTTGTCACCCCAGGAGCCTACTCCAGGGGGCAGTGTCGCTGCCACCTGAGGGGCGGCTTCACCCTCCCCTGTGGCCCTGGGCCACTTTGGGGAGGGAAAGACCATGTTGTTCCCAGAAGATAATAAATGTGCCTGTGACTCGGCAAAAAATATATACTGTTGTTAAAAACCATGTTTCCTTCCCGACACGATCACTGAAGACAAATGTGTGCATAAGCAAATGTGGTGAAGAAAGCTGATGGCGCCTGGCTACCAAAAGATATAGCATCTGGGCTCTTAAAGTCTTGCAGATAAACAAGCAGTCATCTAGCTCAGAAGCATCAAAGCCCACAAGGAAGAAGCACACCAGCCCTTGTGACCACAAGATGTCGAAGGGATCAGGTATCGGGCATCAAAGAACAAAAAAATTTTATCATTGTAAATGAGGGTAAGTGCAGAGTGGAGACCCAAAGCCCATCTGTAGGCAACTGGACACCCCCTTACAGAAGGGTTGCAGGGAGGAGATGAGCCAGTCAGGGTGCAGGGTAGCAACGATGAAACATACAACCTTCCTCTAGTTCTTAAATGCTTCCTCATCCCACTATCATGATCCCAATTCTACCTTACAAATCTGGCTAGACCAGAGGATGTACATTGGTACAGATAGGTACTGGAAACACAGGGAATCCAAGACAGATGACCCCTTCAAGACCAGTGGTGAGAGTGGTGATACCTGGAGGGTGGAGGGAAGGTGGGGTAGAAAGGGGGAGCAGATTACAAGGATCTACATATAACCTCCTCCCTGAGGGATGGACAAAAGAAAAGTCGGTGAGGGAGACGTCGGACAGTGTAAGATATGATAAAATAATAATTTATGAATTATGAAGGGTTCATGAAGTAGGGGAGAGTGGGGAGGGAGGGGAAAACAAGGAGCTGATATTTAGGGCTCAAGTAAATGTTTTGAGAATGATGATGGCAACATATGTACAAATGTGCTTGACACATGGATGTACGTATGGACTGTGATAAGAACTGCATGAGCCCCCAATAAAATGATTTTTTTAAAACTGTGTGTTTACTTAATAAAACAAAAAAAGTTACTGTCTAAAATGAAACTCACTTCTAGCAAACTAATTCCTTTGTGACTGAGGAAATGGATTCATTTTTTTTCTTTTTAAAAATTTCTCTCTGGCACTTCATAAGTTAGACATTTACCAAGGAGAGGTCACAACTTTCTGGCAAATCCAAACCTAAGTAATTTCTAATAGAGTCTAGTATCATAATGGGAATTCTAGAATATGTTTGAAAAGGCCTATGCTATTGGTTTTGGCATCAAGCATTATTATATATTAATTATTCTTGCAACTGTATCATCAGACACAACAGTATCAGGCAATGGAAGCAAATAAATCCGAGCCATGTAATCTAACCCAAGTAATGACTGCTCACAATTACACTATTTGCATAAAATCCTAAACAGACCAACTCAACCCCCAACCCCTACACCCAGGCTGGCAATCCGAGTCCAAACTGGAGGTGCGGGAAGCAGAGTTTCTTTTGCTACCTTCCACAACCAGCAGCAGAACAACAGGCAGGACAAACCAGAGACGCTCGACACGAGTATCAATACAAGCTGGACTTTGCTAGAATTGCTCTGAGATTGTTTTACGCGGGAATATTGTGAGCATGTTAGGGTCCTTGTGGTTTTCATGCATTGTTTCTAGTCCTTGCCCTCTGTCCACACAAACATCAATAACCTCATATGTTGAGGGCCACGTCGCTTGCTTAAACCTATGGAAATATGCTGAATTGTATGAAATAAGAGTGTTTCAAAGAGAAAATATTTCCTGGCTCAAACATGACAACTGACAGAAGAGGCATTTGAAAAAGAAAAATGCAAACATAAGCAAAGAGTTGTATGTTTATTCATTGCAATGATGTTGAAACAAGACAAATTGTACACAACTCCCACCCACAGCCCTGCCCAGGCAACAAGCTATCCATCAGTATCTCAGACCACTACCAGGCAGCAATGATAATGACAATAAATATAAAAATCAATTGCTACTGTCTCTTGAAAGAGGTCCCACTCAGCTCAGCAAAGAAATGACAGGTTAGAGGGGGAGGGGATCTCACTGAACATGGAACTATGCTCCACCTGAAACACTGGCCATTTCTCTTAATGGAGACTACAGACACTTAAATTTTGCAACACCAAATGGTCAGAACAAAGAGGCAAAAAAAATGAAGTCATGTTGCATAGCAAATGTCAAACAGATTCCCTATAATGAAATCATAAAGTAAAAAGCAATGGCCTAGAATCTGAAATGAAACTCAAATCTCAACAATTTCTATAGTCATAATAAAAACTATACATGAGCATACAAACTTGCCTCCCAAAGCTACTTTCAAGACTTACTACCACAATTCTACTTCTTGTAATCATAACTCACCCAACCCAAATTATCAATACACTTAGAAAACATTAAGAGTGCCAAAATAAAGACTCTTCATATTAACGCTCCAAAATAAACTCCTGTGGAAGTAATACTCAATCAGTATGAGTATTCATACCCTTTTACCACTATAACCTTAGAAACTGTGAGTGACATTCTAAATAATTACACGGATGCACCTCAGAAACCCTTAAATCTAATAATGCCAACACCACCAACTGATCTCAGCTGAAGTTTTACTTAGAAGGACAATGTTCCATTTGTTACTTACCTTGCCATCAAATTTGGAATACTCATTAAAGGGGTTATTCAGCTGCAGAGGGCACTGCTCCAGGCGGACAGATAATATTGACTGCTTTCCAGAACTCGGAGGCTTTTCTTTGAGAGACTTTTTTTCAAACAGTGACTTTAACTCCTGGGCTGTGATTCGGAAGGAAGATAAAAACATCTTTGTGATTACACATAGAGAGACAGGTAGCCCCCCTTTTCCTACAAAGTCCTCCTTGGAACCTTCAAGAGGGAGCAGCCCCAGACATGCTCTGGGTCTGGTAAGCCCAGAGAGCCTCACATTTACTTTAATGTTTGTGCATCAAAATGGCAGAGAAAAGTCTAACAGGCCAGGATTGAGTGTAGAATAAATATGGCTTAAGGAGGTATGAGGACTTAGGTGGTACAAACCATTAATATATTCAAGCTGCTACCCAAAAGGCTGCAGGTTGGAGTACATCCAGAGGCAACCTACATTTGAAACGAGCTACTGAAAGTCTACAAAACACATTTCTACTCTGATACGCATGAATCAGAATCAACTTGACCTCAATTAGAAGCAGAGGGGGCACAGATACAACAACAGAGCAATCCTTCCATAAGAAAGGCAATTACAAGAGAGTTGAGCATCGTTCCTCTCTGCTGTTAACAGCTGTGTGATGTTGTGTAACTGGTTTTTCTGGGCTTTTCTACAAGCCCTAGTGATGCTTTAGCAGAGGGCTAAAGCATTACTAAGAGGTTCAAACCTACCAGACACTCTGTAGGAGCAAGATAAGACAGACTGCTTCCATAAAGATTTACAGCCTCAGAAATCCTACAGATTAGGTGTGACATGATGCTATCATAATTCTTCCATTCTTAAAGGTCTAAGCTACAGTTAGACCTCTCTCAAATCTGTAATACCTCTTCCTTTCTTCCCCACTGATGACCATGGAGAAATAGAAGCAACCTAAAGAGAATTTTTGCATGTTCTCAGCTGCACATTTGATCTGCCTTCCTTCCTATTAACATATCTGTGCCCCTCTATCAGGTCAATCCTTCCACTTAGGAATTAGAATTCACCCCTTCATGCCAACTCAAGACTACCACTCAAACAATTCTCTCCCCTCTTTCACCCATTTTCCCCCTCTTAACTGGATTAGTCACATCAGTACCCAAAAATGCTTAAGTACTACCCAAGTACCCTTATAGTAATCCATTTTCACTCTACCTTATGTGCCTTAGAGTCCTAGTAGTGTAGTGGTAATAAGTTGGGCTGCTCCAGGGGAGAAAGATGGGGCTTTCTACTCCCGTAAAGTGACAGTCTCAGAAACCCCACAGAGGGGTCATTATGAGTTGGCATCAACTCGAAGACAGTGAGTTTGGCTTTTTTCTTTACCTATATTCATGCCATTAAATTGTTCTCCTCTCGTTCACTCAAACCTACTACTCTAACCATGCATGCAGGATCTACCATTTCATCAAAGCAGCTTCCTCATCAAGGCCCATCAATGGGCTCCCTTGTTGGTAGTCACTGGATATGACTTTGGTATGGGTATGACCTGGCAGGATATGACTGGTTCGTCATTCCCTCCTTTTCAGAAGAGACCTGTTTCACTTAGTCCCCAGGACTCCACTCCATCTGGTTCTCATGCTGTCTCAGGCGAGTCTTTCTCAGTTCCCTTCATTCCTCTTCATTTTCCCAACTCCATAAGGCTCAGTGCTTGAAGCTCCTTTCTCTATCATAAACAATTCCTTTGTGATTTTGAATCCTGCCCTACATTTTTAAATACCATCTAAAAGCGGTAAAACTAAATGGTGATACAACTAAATAATGGTGATCTGAATTGGAACAGTGGTGTGGTGAGGTGAAATTGCTTAAATACAAGTTCTTCTACACATTTTCTGTAACTCCCATCAAAAGATTGGGTGAGACTATGTAAATAAGGTATACCAGATTCTAACGTAAGGACTGGGCAGTTTTGTCATCCCTCTGGATATAAGAGAGCAGAACCCAAAGGCCATCAAGAAAGAACAGCTGCTGGCAAAGTGCATGGGAGATCCTTGTCTGAAGTGGTGGAGGCACTGAAGCCATGATACAGAGACCATGAGACAGGGCAGAGGATCTGTGCTGAGATTTTGGGGCAGAGTGACAGGCAGGCTTCCTGACACCGGGAGGCAACGGCCTAGAGACCACACGGGTGAGAGGCCAAACCCAGGACATGCTTGTCACCATGGATTATAAGAGGTGCTACAGACTAAAGGGCAGTATCCTTACTATTTTGTAATCTATTAGCTTCCCTAAAACTCCCATAATTGTGTGTATTTTCTGTGAGTTCTATATGGCCGGTCACTGCAACAAATTACTGGTGTCATGGAGAGATGGCCAGTGTCAGAATTTTTTTTTAAAAAAAGGAAGCATAAGAGGGTAGAGGCATGTCTGACCTCTGCCTTGTGGCAATTGGTCTTGGGCTAGTGAGCTGTTGGATTCTCCTTCTCCTTTATATAGTCAAAGAAGGTCAGATGTGGTCCCATGCCTTTTCCTTGAGTTAGTAGTTCTCAACCTTCCTAATGCCGTGACCCTTTAATACAGTTCCTCTGTTGTGGTGACCCCCCCCAATCATAAAATTACTTTCGTTGGCATTTCATAACTGTAATTTGCTACTGTTATGAATCTAGCAACCCCTGTGAAAGGATCGTTCAACCCCTAAAGGGGCCACGATCCACAGGTTGAGAACTGCTGCCTTAAGTGGTTACCTATGGTGAAAAGACTGACTAGAAAAAGGCATAAGGGAACTTTCTAGAATGATGGAGTGATTTTATACTGTGATTGAGATGTTCACTACACGGGTGTATATGTTTGTCAAAAGTCACTGAATTATACATTTAGAAACTTCACTATATGTACAGCAAGGGCCCTGGCTACTTCATGAGAAAAAGATGGAGCAATTTTCTTCTGTAAGATTTACAGCTTTAGAAACCCTGACACAATTCTACTCTGTCACAACAAGGTTACTATGACTTGGAATTGACTTGGCTATATGTAAAGCATATTTCAATATAAATAAATATATAGGGAAACCTAGAAAGTATCTTTATATGCCGTTAACTCCAAAAATGATTATTTCTAGGCCAACACATACCCTTAAATAACAGGTTCATATATCTTTCTTTTTTTTTTTTTAAATCATTTTATTAGGGGCTCATAGAACTTTTTTCACAATCCATACATACATCAACTGTGTACAGCACATTTGTACATTCATTGCCCTCATCATTCTCTAAACATTTGCTCTCCACCTAAGCCACTGGCATCAGCTCCTCATTTTATCCCCTCCCTCCCTGCTCCCCGCTCACTCATGAACCCTTGATAATTTATAAATTATTATTTTGTCTTATCTTACACTATCCAATGTTTCCCTTCACCCACTTTTCTGTTGTCCGCCTCCTAGGGAGGAGATCACATGTAGATCCTTGTAATCAGTCCCCCTTTCTACCCTACCCTCCTTCCACCCTCCCGTTATCGCCACTCACACCACTGGTCCTGAAGTGATCATCCATCCTGGATTCCCTGTGTTTCCAGTTCCTATCTGTACCAGTGTACATCCTCTGCTCTAGCCAGATTTGTAAGGTAGAACTGGGAACATGATAGTGGGGGAGGAGGAAGTGTTTAGGAACTAGAGAAAAGTTATATGTTTCATCGTTGCTACGTTGCACTCTGACTGGCTTGTCTCCTCCCCGAGACCCTTCTGTAGGGGGATGTCCAGTGGCCTACAAATGGGCTTTGGGTCTCCACTCCGCACTACCCCCTTGTTCACTATGAAATGATTTTTGTTCTGATGATGCCTGATACCTAATCCCTTCGACACCTCGTGATGGCACAGGCTGGTATGTTTTTTCCATGCTTTGTTGCTTCTGAGCTAGATGGCCGCTTGATTACCTTCAAGCCTTTAAGATCCCAGATGCCATATCTTTTGATAGCCGGGCACCATCAGCTTTCTTCACCCCACTTGCTTATGCATCCCATATGTCTAACTTTCTATTGGACACTTTCATTTGGCTATCAAATACTTATTTCAAACCAAACTCTTTATCTTTCCGGAAGCCTACCTTTTCCACCATCTTCTCCTTGTCCATTCTGATAGGGCAAAATTTTGGCAGTCATCCTGACTTTTCCTTTTTTATCTATCAACAGATCTTCCATAAGATACCTAGAACCATCTCTACAGCTACCAAGGCTAAATTACCACCACCACCTTTGAACCAGTCTTCCTTTTCCTGCCCTTGCCACCCCCACCACCACTGGGTACAACCTCTATTTCTTCCCAAAAGTCAGTAAGTTTTTTAAAGTAGAAGTAACAAACTTTAAATTATAAAGATATTTCAATAACTTGCACCATATAAATATAAAAACAATTTTAAATTTTAAAATATTGAGCTAAAAAGACAAAATAAAAGCCAATCATCGTAACGTATAAATGTAAAATTATAGAACATACCCAATAGGAAAAATTAACAAGAAATACAAAACTTCCACACCAAAAGAAATGCAAATGGCTCTTAAAACAAATTGGATAAGCTTCAACAATATCTCATAAGAGATAAGCAAATAATTAAACCTATACCTTTCTTCATCTATCAGATTAGCAAAAATAAAAAAATCAGAGGCTATGAAGAAATAGACAAGCTACACATTTTGTGTGGAAATGCAAAATAACAAAAATACTATAGAGTAGGATTTGGTAATAGCAAGGAAGCATACATATATGTATTTTTACCCTTTCACCCAACCATCCCTCTTCAAGGATTCTAATTATAGATATACACTGGTGAAAATAAAATAAAATATACACTAGACTATTCACTACAGCACCATTTGTAATAGCAAAAGCCTGAAAACAACCAAATATCTCTCAATAGAGGACTGGTTGCTTAAACTGTGGTACCATGGTATCAATACCATGGAGTATTGAGCAGTTATAAAACCAGATAAATCTTATCTCTAAATATTGCTCCATTCAAAATAATGTGTATAGTATGTCATCTTTAATTTTTAAATAAGTGAAATAGGAATAAGAGTATGCTTTATATTCTTTATACACTGCTTTAAGTTCATAGATAAACTAAAAGGGGTTGGTTTGTTTGTTTGATTTTTTTTTTTTTTAAGACAGTGG